GTTAAAGGGGTAAATTCCAGATTTAAATTGAAAAAGATTTTGGGAGGAGGGACTAATATTGGCATAATGGACAAATGTTTGGGATGGGACACAGGTTTAGACCCAGTGCTCATTCCTTCCCGCTTCATGAGAATACGTCGAGTAACCCTAACCCTAGTGCATCTCTTTCATCAGCCGCCACCAAGGTGAGACTCCTCAGCTGCCGGTCGCCTCACAAAACCCAACCGCCACTCTTTCCGACGACTACGTCGCCGTTGATCACCGCCGCAACAACCCCGACTGCTAGAGACGTCATGGGCGACAGAAGATACGCGAGGACGGTGGGGCACGTTGTGTTCGTCGTGTGTGGGTCGTGAGCTACCAAGAAACTGTCGGTAAGCCCATATGCCACCTCTCCCTCTCCTCTCATTTTCTATTCTCGGTGAGACGACGTCGTGCACGTCGGTTGCTGTCGCCGGCAGCCCTATGGTTGTCATTTTGCTTGTTTCTGCGTCCTCAGCCACCTAGTCGGTGGTTGGGAGTTATGGTCTCGCGTCATGAACATATGGGGTTGCGATTGGAATCGTGAAGACCTTGTGGGTGCTTGATTGGCCAAAAAACCCGAGGAAAAACCACCGTGAGGAGGTGGCTGTGTGCGTGATTTGGTGTGTGTGTGGGCCTAGTTCGTGAGTTTAATGTTGTATGGATATTCTTGGATAGGAAAACGAAGAAAACTCATCACCACCAACTGTTGCCGCCGTTCCGCCACTACTAGCCACCATCTCGAGTGGCTGTGGACTTTCAGGTGCGTTTGGATTGATGTTTGGAGTGCTTTTGGTGTTGTGTTGGCCCAAGAACATGACCAACACCACCGTAAGGTGGTGGCTGCCGCCGTGAACCACCGCCAACCACCACTGCCCGAGGTGGTAGTGGGTGGTACCCGACTAGATTAGACTTTAATTAATGTAAAAATTGAACTATTGGATTAATTGGTTTTGATTTGGTTGGAAACCCAAATTAGGGTTTAGAAAACCCTAATTTTGGGAATATGTATTTTGGATTTGTCGGGACCCGCGTAGGGCCATTGGTTTGGAATTTTGAACTATGCCCGACTAAGTTTGGTCTAGTGGAGTAATGGACTTAATGGATTAAGTCCTTAATGGGTTAAGTAGGAACACTTAACCCTAATCGTCATTTTATTTGAAAAACCCTAATTGGGTTTGGGTTCTTATTGGACTAAGCTGCTGTGGGCCAATTGGGAACATATTTATGGACTAAGGAAATTATTGGGCTTTAGGATAAGACCCATTAGAGATGTTTGGGCCAATTTGGAAAATTAGGCCATAAGTGGGCCATAATTAGGCCTTGAGGATTATTAGCTATTGGGCAATCAGAATGCCAAATGTTTGGACTAGAATAAATGATTGAGCCTTAAGATAAGCCCATGTAGAGGTTTAGGCCCAATTTGGAAAATTGGGCCATACGTTGGGCCTTGGTTGATTATTGGTCTTTTGGGCCTTCAGAGTGTGAGTTTGGGCCTTGGTTTTGAACCAAGTTAGGTTAGGGGTACAATGGTCCATTTACCCCAAGTGTAGATTTATGATTATGTATTGCAACCCAATTATTAATTGGTTGTCGTTTTGATGATTGACAGTTCGGGAACCTGTCAACCAGCAACTAGAGTTTTATCTACGGGACTTCAGCAGTGCCAGGTGAGTCTCCTCACCATACCAATGGGTCTAAGGCACCAAAGCCGTCCCATTCAGTTAGTTGTAGTGTTTATTGTAGATTCACTACTGATATGTCTGGTATGCATGTACATGTGGCACTACTACAAAAACAGCCTTTTACGACACGCAATGTGTGTCGTAAAACGCTCAGACGACACGCAAATGTGTGTCAAGGAAGGCCTTGTCATAACGAAAGACGACACGCTTTTGCGTGTCGTCTATTTACGACACGCATTTACGACATGCATTGAGTGTCAAGGAAGGCCCTGTCATAAAGGAAGATGACACACCTTTGCGTGTCGTAACCTTACGACGCGCGTTTAGGACACACTTTGCGTATCATTAAAGCCCCTGTCATAAATAAAGATGACACACATTTGCGTGTCATAAACTTCAGCAACCATTTACGATATACATTTACGACGCGTCTTTACGATACTCATTTACGCATAATACAAAAATATGGAAACAAATATATACCAAAACAATCAATTTCATCCAATAACATCATGTCAAAAAATTGTAATACATTGGTATTAAGGGGATCTGAATGTACATTGTTATTAAGAGGTTTTCCCTAACTATATAACCTAATACTATATTGCTATTAAGGGACACCTTGTTTCTACTTCTTATTGTTATACTTCTGTTTCCACATGATACCTGTTTTCATCATCAACACATTAGTATTCAGAAAGGCTTCAAGCATTGGAAAGATGAAGGAATATTCATAAGTGTTAGATGAGATCGTCGGTAAGGGAAGAACAGTGGTGATAGAAACTAGGGTTTCAGAGAGAGACGAAGGAGAAAAATGAGAGGTGAGCTGAGTGTCTATATGGTAGCGATTTTGTGATAAGAATTAATATGCGGACGCACGTTTGAAAATTATAAAACGACAAGGTCTACACGACACACATTTTATTATGGGCGACCTCCGTGTTTGTAATTTTTTTTATTGGACACTAATTTTAGGGCACACATAAATGTGTGTCCTCTATCCTTCAAATTTTCAAAAGCGGACATTATTTTTAGAACACACAATAAATGCGTATCGTAAATCAAAGTGTGTCATTGTTCGCGCATCATTAAATGGTTGTTTTCTAGTAGTGTGGTATGCTAGTGATTATGTGGTATGTTATTGACTATGTGGTATGTGGTATGCTAGTTGTCTTTGTGATACTTGCATGGAAGACCATGGGGGGGAGCCCATGGCACCCGAATGTAAGACCATGTGGAGAGCCCATGACTTTCCTATTAAAGACCATGGGGGGAGCCCATGACACTTGGATGTAAGACCATGTGGAGAGCCCATGACTTTCCAATTGAAGACCATGGGGGGAGCCCATGACACTTAGGTGTAAGACCATGTGGGTAGCCCATGACATCCTGGAGTAAGACCCTGGGGGGAGCCCACGGCATCCGTATATTTTTATATGCATGGCTATGTGATTGATATGGTTGATGTGATCGATATGGTTTATGTAGCTGTTATAACTAATATGGATTGTGTGGTTATGTGGTTTGATTGGGGTATGCTCTGGGGAACTCACTAAGCTTCGTGCTTACAGTTTTGTTTATTGTTTCAGGTATCATCAGTTTGGAAAGGAAGGGCCCGGATTGATCGCAGTGCATATACCCATGTTTTCCGCATTGAATGATTTTGGGATGAACTCTGATAAATGTTTTAATTAACGATGTTTTGGTTGTTTGGAATAAATAATATCTATGTTTTGACTATATTAAAAATGAAAATTTTATCCTTGATTTTTGGGTCGTTACAGTTAAACTAAAATTGAACCATTTGACTATTATATCATAAAACATCATGAATAACAAGTTAAAGTACCATGATTTTATATGTGGATACAAATAGTTAGGAATTACTCCAAAAAGAGCACTCATATTGCTTTAGGAAATTATTGGATTCTATAATTTTGTGTACTAATAAGTCGCTTGCTTTAGAACATCCAATAGTAAAGATATAAACTTGTAATAGTAAAGCTATAAACTTGCAATCAAGTAAGAAAAACATAAAATATGTCATATGTAACTAATCAGAAAGAAAGAAAGAAAAACCTGATTCGAAGTTACATTAGGTGGAGATCGATGCGGTAGGTAACGATGGAGGCGGTGGTCGACAAGGAGGGTGACAGCAGCCGTCGGAGGTTGAAGCCGGTGGTCGGATGCAGCTTGTGAACACAGAGGCGATGTCTTCATAATAAGGAAGTGGGGGAGCAAGGCATCAAGCCGTTCGAGAGGAAGAAAGCATCAAAGGCATAAAGGGGCAAACGAGGAAGATGACCCGGTCAACTATATTTTTCCTAAGACCGAATTAGTGGTAAACAGACCAGGTAAGGGGCCTCAATGTGGTTATATCAAACATACTAACTATGGGCCGAGTCAGCCAAAGCCTTCGACTGGACCAGTCAAAGCAAATCACACAGGCCCAGAGAGAGAGAGAGAGGTAAGTATTAAAAAATTTAAAAATAAAAATAAAATGACATTTTAGTATTTTTAGCTTTTTCGAAAGACCAAAACCACACACAAACCAATTCAAAAGGACCACTGTTATAAAAATATCAAAATTGAGACCAAAACCCTAAAAAAAAAAAAAAATACATTTACTGTTTTGTCTAAAAGCATAAAAAAACAAAAACAATAAGAAACTCCACCAAATATCAACCTATCACGATGAATTAGGCGTTGACGTTCTTAAAGTCATGACCCCTACTGTATACTCAATGTAACTGGCCACATGGGATTTCCTCAACACCGCCGCCCAAAACCTTTCTTCTCGATTATCGACACCTCCTTCCTTTCGGTGCGATAATGTTTTTTATTCTTTGCCGTTTATTTGTTTATTACCATCTTTAATCATTGCATTGCATGACACAGTTACGTCTCCACCTTAATTTAATTTGGTGGTGGCAGAGAGAAATTATGCAAATTGCAAACAACAAAGGAAAAAGGAAAAAGTATAATTTAGAAAAATCACAAAGATTTTGAAGTTAATCAAATTAAGTTAAATTGATTTCACATAAACAGAAGTACCAAGCCTTAATTCAATCTTTCAGCATAAATCCCGTAGATTTCATTGACCAAATTTTAATCAATTATTTTACTTCTTCAAAAAGCCAAATACACATTGCTTAAATATGGACCTTTCTTTGTGATGGTGGCCGGTGGGCCAGTAAATGTTACGTGGACCTCATTACACTTGATCCAGCCCAATTTAAAAAAAAAACCCTATTTCCCTCCTTTATAAATAACAATTCTCCTTCATTTCTGATTATCACATCATAAACCCTAACTCCATAACTAAAACAATTGCTTGCAGCTGCAGAAATTTCAACGTCGGAGTTTCTGTAGTTGCAGCGATCAAGCTAACCAATGGCTCCCTCTCTCTCCACCGCTAAAACTCTATCTTCTTTAATCGCTGCTCACTCTTCTGCTATTGTCAGGTCATCTCACTCATACTTGATTTGGTGTTTTCGTTTGCTTCTATTTTATGCTTTGTGAATTGTGATTGTAGTTCAAGAGTTTTTTTTTTTTTTTTTTCTGATAATGAATGGAATGTTTTCTACAGGCGCGGATATGCATCAGCATCGCAGGGTGGCGTATCGGAAGCAGCCGTGAGGGGGAGTGTGGTTACAATGATGAAGAAAGGAGGTGAAGACTCGACGAAATCGACTGCGTGGGTTCCAGATCCAGTTACTGGTTACTACAAGCCTGAAGGTCATGGAAACCAGATTGACGCAGCTGAGCTTCGTGAGTTGCTTTTGAAGCAGAAAACTCGTCGAGACTAAAAACATACGTTGATTCAGGTGTCCGAATGAATTACGAAGATCGGTTACCTGTCTTGGAATTGCACAAGGAGCATAGCGAACAATGGATTCATGCAGTTTACCATAGAGGATCCGATCATACTCAGATGGATGAGTTGCGGCATAATTATCTATATCTGTATTTCACTATCGTTGTCATAAGTCGTATGTTTCAAAAAATTAAAGACTTTTACTTGTCATATTTCTTGACCTTTATGCTTATTTCTCGCAATATTTGTTTGGTGATTTTGGCAACGAATTATTATAAAGCTTCCAAAATATTATTCTACATTTAAACCCAATTTGTTTAATTTTCTATCAAAAGTTCTCCAATTTTTAATTACAAACTTTGTTTTTCATGTTTCATAATAAAATAGTTTTAGTTTTTTGGAAATTCATTCACTACAAGAAATTAGAGTATTACCGGCGATAGGCGTCGTCCCTAAAACGTCGATGCTGATGTTTTGTCGCTATTAATCAAGCCGCTACTTATGTCGTCGCTAAAGACCTGTCGCCGCTAATAAGCTCATGTTGCCGCTAAAGACCCGTCGCCGGTAATAACCTATTGTCGCCACTAAAGGCGTCGCCGGTATTGGTGTTTTTCTTTTATATATATATATATATATATATATATATATATATATATATATATATATATATATATATATATTTCACATTAAAATTGAAAAAAAAAACTGGTATGATATTAATTAATATAATCCTACATCATTCCATTCCAAAATATTAATACAACATCCGTTTAAAATACTCGTCCGATTTAACATATAACAAAATATCGAAAATACTAGTCTAAAATACTTGTACAAACAAAACATAAAAAAATCCTACAACTATCTACTCGTCATCATCGCTCTCCTCGTTTCCTCCGGTTTCATTTCGTTGTGGCAACGAACGAAACCAATCTTCAAGTGCAGCACTACATGCCGGATCTTTTAACATTGTTTGAAGCATTTCCAACTACAAATAAAACAACATAGTCTTATAAGTTAAATTAGCATTATAACATTCCATATACAAAATATACATTCCACATATTGCATATAAAACATTATAGCATTGTACTATAACTAACAATTACCAACCTACAAAATACCATTACAACATTGTACTTTCATAAACTAACAATTACCAAAGCTATAAAATACCAATATATCAAACTATAACCAAACTAACAATTACCAATATATAAACTATTATCAAACTAACAATTACCAAATTTTGAAACTATTACTAAACCAACAATTACCAACATTTTAAACAATTACCAAAATTAAATAGTCTTGTCACCTGTGATTGTGGTGGTGGTTGTGTCAGTGGTTGTTCCTGATCGTACATCGACACAACCGTAGAAGGTTTACGCCCGATGCCTCTGATATGGCCACGTCGAACACCCAATATTTTTTCAAAACAATTTTGTGTATCCTTTGGTGTTAGACCGCTGGCTTCAGAAGAAGCTTGAGTTTGTTGACTGATCTCAAAGAGTAAAGCATTCTGTATTTTCAAAAAATAATAAATATAATAAAAATTAGATTACTAATTACCCCTTGACGATATAAGCACTTATATGAAAATACAAATTAACCACTTACGTATTGTTGCTCGACTGCAGGACTACTAAATACCCCTTGGTGATCAGTATTGGCCTTACGAAATGCTTCGATTCGAGCGATGTACTATTTAACATTAAAAATTAGTTTAATTATAATTTAAATAAACAGTTAAATATATCATAACTTACTTCTTTGAAACATGCATTGCTATACGAGCACGATCCCCCTCTGTTTACAACTTGTTGTTGTGCACGGACTCCTTTGTTTGACGCCGAACGCTTTAGAAATTCAGGAGTTTGAAAATGCTCGACTGCTTGCGCCCAATTTTCACGTGACATACCATGGGGGGGGGGGGAGTTGGCTAATGCCCTTGGGATATCTGTAAGCCCCCCGACATTCTCAAAATAAGTATGCGTTTTATTTTTCCGGCCTCTATAAATTCTTTGCAAGGTCGCATCAATGCTCTGCAACAACTGAGCACGCTCGGGATCCAAGTTAACCTTATCTAAATCAAACTTATTCTACAAATACAAAAAAGTTAGTTAGTTAAATACCAATTAGAACTAAATTTAAAATATTGTCCAAGTTACCTTTAGATGAACCACTGTGGCATTCCTTAAAGCGGGGGAAACATTGTCCCAACCAGATACGTTCAAAGGGATGTTCATCCATATATACTTCCCAATCTCACAGGTAAACCAATTACCATGGTTCCCGACAGGGGAATATGTCAGCTCCCTATCGAAATCCAAATCTACATGCTTTCCCTTGTTTGCCCGTATTATCTTTGATAGTTGAATGTTTTTTGCTAGGCCTCTTCTTTTTTTAAGGAGCACAGCTGAAAAATATAATTAAAAATATTAGTCACGATAGCTTATAATAAATGGATAAAAATAGCTAACAAATATATCATAATAAGACTTACCATCCTGTTCGTGTTGACCACGACCAAAGCCTACTGGAGGTGGTGGATCCCCGGCTCCATCACCACCATGTCCTAAGCCCATAACATCCGCCATCACGTAGAAGAGTATCGCCCAACTAAACCCCATATATAGCCTTCAAAATTACAATATTAATAGAATTTACACATATTACATATACAAAAATAATACACTTTCTATTATAGCATTGTAGTTTCCAAATTGCATACAAATACATACACAATATAGCATCATACTTTTTTTCCATTATTGCATCCTACTTTTTTGTTCAATTTTTTCCATGCACAAATTCATTATTCAAATATAACCTTTATAAAAAATATCATTTATAGAACTTTAAAAGTGTAATAATTCAAAAAAATGGTAAGAAATTGATCATAATACCTTTGTGGATCATTTTCTTCATAATACCTTTGTGGATCATACATATATACAATAGATTCAATTCCATTTTTTCATTTCATTTTAGACATACAATACAACTTTCATATTCGAATTTCATACAATTAAACAATACATCAAATTTCATACAATACATCCAATTCAAATTCCAATTTCAAACAATTAAGCAATACATCTAATTTCATACAATCCTACCATTTTAGACATCCAATAGCAATTTCATAGAAAAATATACACCTAAATACAAAATCACACAAACCATGTGTAATTCCATTTTCATGCCAATACACAACAATGAGCATAAACACAAATTTATTATACAATAGGCTGCATAAAATATGATAAAACATACATAATCACTCAAAAATCATCAATTTACAGCCAAACAAGAGGCTTGGTCGACACTCAAAATCACTAACCAAAAAAATCTTAGAAAACATAGAAATCAATGATACAATCAGGTTTGAATGATAAAACTAACATCAAAACACAAGAAGAACATAAATTAGGGAAAGAAATTCGACCTTAGATTGCTCAATTTCACTGAAATGTTGTTGTGGTCGGAATTGCCCTCTATGGCCGCCGGTAAAGAGGGTGGGTCGCCGGTAAACAAACCGGTCGTCGGTAAAGTGGATCCCGGTGGTCGAAATCGTAATGGGGTGCAGATGGTGAAGGTACTCGGAGTTTTTGAGAGATACAACGATAGAATGAAAGAAGGGTCGACTGGGGGGGTTATCTGACGCAACTCAATAGCGGCGACGGGCAATAGCGGCGACATGAGGGTTTTAGCTGCGACATAGGGGTTTTAGCAGTGACACCCCTGGAGGGAAAAGAAAGCGCGTGTTTTGGGAGTTTACAACCGTAGGATTGAATAATGATCGAACGGACGGGGATTATTTCACGCGGATCGCCACGGTGTCAGCAATAGCGGCGACACCTTTAGCGGCGACGACAAGCAATAGCGGTGACATGTAACGCGTCAATTACATGTCGCCGCTATTGCTTGGTGTCGCCGCTAAAGGTGTCGCTGCTATTGCTAACATTTCTTGTAGTGATTTTAACCAATTAATTTTTCTAAGAGTTTCTTTGTACAAATTCATTTACTGAATTCATTACATATCTATTTCTGATTAAATTTTTGCAACTTATATATATATATATATATATATATATATATATATATATATATATATATAGGCTTAGGTTATTTTGTTTAAAGTAATTATTGTGTTATTGTATTCATAAATGTGGGTCAATCAAATTTACTTATTTTAAGAAAGTGATTAATATATATTATTAAATTAAATGTAATTGAAAAAATCATCTTAATTAATTACAAGGGTAATTTAGTCAATAAATATAGATTTAATAAAAGAAAGTTGCATTTTTTAAGGGATCATAGATTCCATTAATTTTAAAAATCCGATTTTACGAATTATAATTCTTTTAATTCGGACATTCTGACAGAATATGTTTATGAGTATATTCAAAAATAAAAATATTCTTGAACCATAAATAAGAAAAAATATTCTTGAACTTATTTCTTTATCATGAATTTCAAAACTTCTTGTAGAATAACAAATTCTTGAACAATCAATTGAAGAATAAAAACAACAAATACATTATTTCTTATAGAATACGGGTAACAATTGTTAATAATTACATCAAAATCTAACAACGACTAATACATTCTAAAAGAATAATGAGGTCCGTTTCAATTTTGTGGTCCATTCTTCAAGTATCAACTTTTGTGATTCCAACAGAATTAGAATTCGTCATTCAATTCCAACAGAATTGGAATTCTTGATTCCATTCCAATAGATATTAGCCAAAAAACTGCTCATTCTGATATGTATATTAGCCAAAAAACTGCTTTTCATTTCCTTCCCTTCCCTGTCAAACACCCAATCCAAACATCCATTGTTTTCTATCAAATGCAACAAACCCAAACACCCCAATGATTTCTATCTAACATTCAAACAAACCCTTGGATTCTGAAGTGTATATTCTATGTAATACATTCCTGCCCAATTTTGGAATATATATCAAAGATTTTCAGATGTAAGAAAATACACAAAATTAAATAAATAAATAAAACATCATTTATCAAGTAATAATTATGAAGAAAAACTCACGGGGGATTTTACAGATAACCTTCTTCACTTTCTTGTAGCAGCCGGAGCATTTGAGATCGACATTCAGCACCATTTCTGTCACCTGTTTCGTTATATCAAACAGATTTAATCGACATTAGTTCTTGAGTATATTAGCTCATTTCAATTCTTAAAATGCTTAATTAACAGGAAGATTTTGTCATGAGAAACTAGATTGAA